TAGGATTTTTTTGTTACATAACTGCACTCAAAAACAAAACAATGAAAACTTCAGAGCTTACAAATCCACTCAGTCCTACTTCTTTTTCAGCCAATCGCTAAGACAAACAAGTTTGTTTACATTTATGGGAGATAATGCTGCCATCTTCTTATTTACAATGTCACCAGAAAGTGAGAACAGGAGTTCGGCATGGCACTTTTGTAGCCGGCATTGCAAGGCATTTACGTGCCAGATATGCTAAACATTCGTATGCCCCTTCATGCTTTGCCACCATTCCAGGGGACATGCTTCCATGCTGATGAAGCTCGTTAAAAAAAAAAGCGTTAATTAAATCTGTGACTGAACTCCTTGGGGGAGAATTGTATGTCCCCTGCTCTGCCACATATTTCATAGCAATCTCAGATGATGACCAAGCACATGTTGTTCATTTTAAGAACGTTTTCACTACAGATTTCACAAAATGCAAAGAAGGTACCAATGTGAGATTTCTAAAAATAGCTACAGCACTCAACCCGAGATTTAAGAATCTGAAGTGCCTTCCAAAATCTGAGAGGGATGAGGTAGGGAGCATGCTTTCAGAAGTTTTAAATGAGCAACACTCCGTTGTGGAAACTACAGAACCGGAACCACCAAAAAAGAAAACTAACCTTTTGCTGGTGGCATCTGACTCAAATAATGAAAATGAACATACATCGGTCCACGCTATTTGGGATTGTTATAGAGCAGAACCCGTCATCAGCATGGATGTATGTCCCCTGGAATGGTGGTTGAAGCACGAAGGGACATATGAATCTTTAACGCATCTGACACATAAATATCTTGAGACACTGGCTACAACAGTGCCATGTGAACACCTGTTCTCACTTCCAGGTGACATTGCAAATAAGAAGCCAGCAGCATTATCTCCCATAAATGTAAACAAACTTGTCTGTCTTGGCGATTGGCTGAACAAAAAGTAGAACTGAGTGGACTTGTAGGCTCTAAAGTTTTACATTGTTTTATTTTTGAATGCAGGGTTTTTTTGTACATAATTCTACATTTTTAAGTTCAACTTTCATGATGAAGAGATTGTATTACAGTACTTGTATGAGGTGAATTGAAACATACTATTTCTTTTTTATAGCACAAATATTTGTAATAAAAGATAAATATAAAGTAAGCACTGTACACTTTGTGTTCTGGGTTGTAATTGAAATTAATATATCTGAAAATGTAGACAACATCCAAAAATATTTAAATAAATAGTATTCTATTATTTAACAGTGTGATTAATTGCAATTATTTTTTTAAAATGGTTATGCAGCCCTAATTTAAACCTGCAAGAGACCCCATGCCCCACACTGCAGAGGAAGACAAAAAAAAACAACAGGGTCTCTGCCAACCAATCTAATCTGGGGCAAAAATCCTTCTCAACTCCAAATATGGCCATCAGCTATACCCTGAGCATGTGAGCAAGACAGGCAGATACCTGGGAAAGAATTCTCTGCAGTGACTCAAATTCTTTCCCCATGTAGTGTCCCATCTCCAGCCATTGGGGATTGTTGCTACTGGCAGTTGCCGATGGGCCACATGCCATTGTAGGCAGTCCCGTCAAACCATCCCCTCAACATTACTACACACAAGTGACATAAGTGTTGCTGGTTTCATAGTTTTTCAATGAAAAATGTTTTTACTACATTTAAAAGGTGCTATTTACACCTCAGCAACAATGAACAGTATTTCCTTGCCAGTAAAGGCATGAATTAGGGATAGTTTCCATCTTCTAAAATAAGCATTCTGAAAGGAGAAAATCCATTAGTTGACAAAGATTTTTAAATTTATTGGCCTCCTCTATAAATGAACTTGTGGTTCAGAGCTCACTACTAAGTTGTTTATACTGTTATTCACTAGGTTTATAGATGCAATAACACTTTGAAACTCAGTACTAATCTGAAGTGTTTAAAGATGAAATTGTAGAGTTCCATGTTTACTGTATCTTAACATGCTTGATTTACAAGAAAAAGTATAGTTCCTCCTTGCCCAGCAGTTAGCTTTGAGAACTCAGCCTGGGATCTGAGGGTCAAGCATGGTTTTTTCTTGCTGATCCATCATCACTAGTAACAAAGATTCTACAAGCCAGATTATGTCCTTAGTTACACTTCATCTTCAGGTTTTGCTATCAACAACACTACTGTGCACTGTGCACACTACTACTGCTTTCAGTTGATTTATACAGGGGCAACTGGTCGGAACATAGGGTTTGTCTTCACTGCAGTATTAACCTGAGTTATAACTTGAGCGTCACTACTAATTTGAGTCCCATCCTCATGCAAAAACCCTTCATTTGAGCATGATGGTGCTTTTACTTGAGTTGGTGGGCCCAGAGGGGTGGATAGGCAACAGCTCAAGTTAATACAACTCGTCAGCTGCTAACACAACCACTATACTGCATTCTGGGTAGCCTGAGTGTTATTTTGCAGTATGGCTACTCTCAGTTGAACTAGGCTAACTCAAGTTAACTCTGCAGTGAATATATGCCCTAAGTAAACAATTCAGTTGATATATAAGAAGGAACCTATTCTAGCTCTCTCCCTCTTCAAGTTGGTTCTGCAGTACTAATGAGAATAAAAAACTGTAAACTTATTTTTGTCAGTAAAGCAGATTGTCTTTCAATAAATCTGTTGAATAAGGAGGGAGCTAGCATTTTTATAGTCACTTTTTAGAATAGAACCACTCTCTAAATGAAATTCAATTGCATACCCAAACTTCTCATTAGATTTGGATGGTATGAGGCCAAAGACCAATGTATGCAAGTATTTGGTATGTCTATGGAGAAAGAGAACAATTAATCACATTAAATTAAGCAGAAAAGGGATTTTTTGATAAATTGAGAAGAATCTCTCACTCACTCCAATTGTTATTAAGGCAGAAGGCTAACATTTTTAAATCCATATAACCAATACAACCATCTCCACATGACCCTAAATGATACTGTTTTATCACGTATGCACCAAAACAAAAAACTTTGTACCTTAAGTTCTATATCTTTTGTCAGGAAAGGTTTCTCAGGTCCAGGATGGAATTTATGGTTGAGAGACAGACTCAAGAATACCTAATAGGCTGACATCCAGGACATTTGCCTGGGGACGGGAGACGCTGATCTGCCCGATTCAGACAAAGGACTTGAGCCTGGGTCTTCCATACCATACCTCAGGTGAGTGCCCTCACCACCTGTTGGCTATTCTGGGGCCTCTCTCTTTTTTTCTGTGGTTTTTCCACACACAAAAACGTCTAAAGATCTTGGTTTTGTCCCAAAAGAGTTTCAAAGACAGGAAAACAGTTTCCTGTCCAGCTCTATACTGGTAGCTCTGTAATTGAAACACCGTCAGGTGTTTAAAAACTCTTTTTAGTTTAGTAAACTAATACGCCTGGAAAATTTTATAAACTAAAGAACTTTACAACTGTTTTTAACTGCTTGGTAATTAAGAAAAGATGCATGTCAGTGGACTTCAATGATTAGTTGGACATGCCAGTCCTCTCAACACACAACAGCTGCTGCTTAAACGAACAGCCAAAAAGGAGGAGGAGAAGGAAGGATAAATGTAATCAAATCAGCCAGCAATGAAGTTCATCTACTTGTTCCCGCTGTTTCTGCTACATTTGTCTTTATCCCAGACTTAATTGTAACCGTGTTAGTTTAAATAATGAAGGTATACACTCATTAAGTTGCAAAAAAAATTATACTTGTGTTTTGACTCTCTCTGAACAAGTAGTATAAGGAATTGGACTATAGTTAAAGTCACTACACATTCCAACTTCTTACATAGCAAAATACAGTCACTTAAAAACTGACAGGGATGGGACTAGACTTCAACAGATGCTTGAGTTTCTATCTCACACCTAAATCCTTATAATAAGCCAAGTTCAATAACAAAATCATCCCACACTTCGGGAAAGCTCAAATTTGAGTCTAGATTTCAAACCCCAAAGTTTGGAAGTGTTCAGATCAGAGGGGTTTTTTTGTACTCAACATTATAGACATATGCAGTTTGACTTGGGATACATATTTCAGATCCAGAATTTTGGTTCAGGCCCATCACCAATAACTGCACAATTCATGTGCTTTTGCTTATGTGTATTGAAAATAGTTTAGGAATATAGGAATTACCATATCATACAAATGAGATCATATGATGAGAATGCCTGTCATATAAGAAGACTGGACTTGCTGACCCAGGAAGTCCTGTCCAGTCCTGTGCCCTTATCAGACCATCAGTCCATCTAGAAGAGCATTCTGGCTTCAACAATGACCAGTACTAGATGCTTCAGAGAAAAGTGCATATTTATTCAACAACACGCCTATCGTGGAAGTTTCTTTCCAGCCTAAGACATTTATAGTTAGCTGAGGTCCTGAAGCATTTAATGTTCTGAGTCAAGGTTTAACAGGACATGGTTGAGTAGTTTAGGCCCAAATTTTGATTTTATATTTTAATATATAAGAAATTTGGAAAGTACACTTCTTTGACAAATGATTTCCCCCCTATACTTAGAACTACGCTGACACCATGTACAATGTTGGTACACACAAAAAAATAAACAAAACAAATCCATGTCAGCATATGGTCCATAAGAAATATGTGGGTGGGGGGAAAAAAAAAAAACCACTTGGTGCCAACTGGAAAAGGACAAAACCAGCTGGGAAAGAAATGTTAGTCTCAAACTGCTAGAGGAGTGTTACAAAACCAGTGGAGGAGTTAAAAAAAAATTAAAGCAAGAGAAACTTACTTAACAGTCTCCCTCTAAAAATTATTTAAAACCTAATGTCCCATTACTTAACATCCCAGGCTCTAAAAGATTTTCTAGTTGGGAAATCTTTCAGCATGTTATTTCAGAGAATCTTCTGCAAGAAAGCATATCTTCCCACATAATTTTACTTTGGTGGCAACAATTAAAGAAATCTTAAAGCATTCTATGAGCTGCACTGTTATATCAATTTATGAAGTACAGGATTTAAATGTCACCTGTTTTGTCTCTCAATATTTTGTAGCTCTCTGTGGTCCCTTTTCAGGTGTTTGGTCAAAGATGTAAAGTATTCCTTCAACAAATTCTGGAAGGGCTGTTGCTTCTCTGGGCTGATTATCTCACTAGGAGGAAAACTCAAGTTAAACTTCTCTGCAGCATTTTTAACCTTCCTTGGTACCAAACCAGCAATATCATCTCCACAGTGCCGGCAAAAGCTTATTACCACAGAAACATGAGCGTGGGTCTCCCGATCAGCGTTAATAATGTTTTTTAGCTGTTCATAGATTAAAGACAGACCTTCTTTATCAGTGAAAATCCCAACTATTGTCAATTCTGCAATGAAACGTAAGTCAGTTCTTAGTTTGGTAATGTTGGGAGTTTTCTCTTCTTTCCTTGCTTCAAAATGCTTTTTCCAAACCTGAAGAAGCGATGGAGCAAAATCAGCATAGCGCTGGTGAAACAGAGAACACAAGTGCACGGCACAGTTCACATCTGATATTTTCAGCTTTGCTTCAACAATAGAAGCTACAGCTTCTGCAATGTACTTGCTTAAGTTGAGGCTATTAAAATCATGAGACAAGGAGTCCCTCTGTTGTTCTGTGATAGTTTTTAGCTTCTTAACAAAAGCAGTGTTCTTCTTCAGACTCGAGTCCAGCCTGCTAAAGAAATTCTCCTCAGGGCGGTTATCTGGTGCATTCTGGTTTTTGCTGCGGAGTTCCTTTCTTGCTTGATGGCGCTCCCAAGCTTCCTGATGGAGTTGATGTGCTTCCTCTTTCTCTCTAAAGAAAAAAAACCCGATAGTTATAACCTGGTAAGACCTCACTAATTTCTATTATAGATTACTGAATTTTGTAAACTGACAGGTAAATGAACCATTTCAAAACAAGGATAATGCACCGCAAGCTAATTGATCTCAATTGTAGTGCAGTTTAAATTTTTCCTGATACAGAACATTCATTAGTACATATAAAATAATATATTTTACTGATAATAAGGAAGTCCTAGTAACTCCAAGGCTTCACTAAATAGCACTCTTCTATTAAACCTTTTCTAAGAAAGTGCCATTTATGTATTTATTAAAATAAACATATTAGCAAGGCTCTATACAGAATTTTTTTGATCACAAAGCATTAACAAAGCATAAATACTACAATCCTTTTATTCAAGAAAGAAATACAATCAACTTTGGGACAGAACACAGTAACACTACACACGTGTTCTAGATAAGAAGAATTCCAAATCCAACTGAAATTGCAAGGGCAATTTAAGTAGATAAAATGTATTCGCCCAGCCTGGAGTCTGACCAAGACAGACACATTAAAACCCTTACTCTTTAAAAAAGTGTCATGGTATCTTTAATGAATACAAATGGTCAGAATCTTGGTTTTGTTTACCTCCAACACCATAGTGTCTCAACACCATGCTATGGGCACTGACTTGGAGAGAAAACTAAATTAACACCACTTTCTGCTGTATCCTACCAATTATTCATGACTGCTGACTATTGGACAGCTTTAGAGATCACAGCCCATTTCCAGTGCTTAAAAGTTTACAGCAACAGCTTATAGTAAGGTTGGTCTTGTGACTGAAGTACCGGACTGAGAGTCAAGCTGCCCAGCACCTATTCCTGGATGGATTTCATTGTGATCATGGGCTAGTCACTTGGCTTCTTTGTGCCTCTGTTTTCCCATCTGTAAAATGGGGATAACACTTCTGAACCTCAATGAGACTTTGTGATGCTTAATTCAGGCACATTTATACACCTCATGAGATCTCCAGACAGATGACATTACCGAAATCCAATGTATAAGCCAAAGTGATAGTGGTTAGTATATACATACAACTACTGCATACTTTTAGCTTCTCACAAATAGCACTGAGCATATCACTTGACACTATCTATATCAGTGGCTCTCAAACTTTTTTACTGGTGACCCCTTTCACATAGCAAGCCTCTGAGTGCGACCCCCCTTAAAAATATATAAAAAAGTGTTTTTAATTTAACACCATTATAAATGCTGGAGGCAAAGCGGGATTTGGGGTGGAGATTGACAGCTCACAAACCCCCATGTAATAACCTCATGACCCCCTGAGGGGTCCCAACCCCCAGTTTGAGAACCCCTGATCTATATTTACTAAACAATTATATAAATTTTTACCTTCTTATTCATAAAATTAAAAGAGTGACCCAATACTGCAGTCCTCACTTTGGCAAAACTCCCACTGACTTCAATGGGAATTTTGCCTGAGTAAGGACTACACTGTTAGGCACAGTTAAAACTTAAAACATAAATCTTACTTCAATTGTGCAGCTGCCTCCTCTTGCTGACGTTTTACTTCCTCTTCTTGTTTCTTTTTTCTTCCTCTTCAAATTTCTTTTTTCTTCATCCTCTTTCCTCTTCTGCTCTTCTTCAGCTTTTATCTTGTCCTCTTCTTTTTTCTTTCGCTCCTTGTCTTCTTTTTTCCGTTTATCCTCCTCCAGTTTTTTCTTTTTATCTTCAGGTGTCTTGAGAGTCTCTCTCTTCAGGCCAACCTTCACATCCTCCTTTGGTTTCTCTCTACTGCTCACTGATCGCCTTTCACTGAAGTCTTTTTCTTTGTTATTTAATGAAGATTCTTTTTCTTCCATACTGGCTGACTTTTTGCGCTCAGCTGGCATTATGTTACCCAGGCAAATCTGCAGAAGTACAGGAATATCACCATTATTACTGTATTCTCAATATATGAACAAACTAGTTTTCACTGTATCCTGACAGTCACTTAGAATAGCTGAGGTAAAGTTGCATGAGGATGAAATTCAATTAGAAAATTGCGTGAAGGTAAGCAAGCAACTTGGAGGATGATATTCAAAAGAACTACACTTCCACACTGTTCCTATGGTACTCAGATCATGATTAAGGAGAAAATGTGAGGACTGCACAAAACCCAAATGCCTGTAATTGCTTTCAGCATATATTATGGCATTCTCTTCAACCTGAGCTGTGCAGTCAGATGACAGTTCAAAACTACCACAGCCTGCAGAAAACCTAATCTTTGCAGCAAAGCGAACACTCCAATTAAAAAAAAAAAAAGTTTACCTGACCAGAGCCAACTACCTACAAGACTTAATTAAAAAAA